AAAGTAGTCTGCATTTACCTTTCTATTTAGTGACTAGACTGGGACCTCCTTGACCCATTCAGACTTTAGGCACTCAGTAACATGAAATGAATGATACCAACCTTTCCCAAACTTGCAAATCCTACAATTCACCCAGGAACTGGTTAAAATGAGACTCTGAACCACACCCAAATACATTGAATCAATTCTTTAGGAGAAAGACTTGGGCATCCATTCCATTAACAAGCACCCTAGATGGTTCTTCCTACTGGCAAGTTTGGGAAATTATATCAGTTCAATACTTTTGGGGTTTAGACAAGTCATAAGCTCAAAATTACAATCTTTGGGCTCAGGTACCCCAAACTTTTGTGTATTACTCCCAGATATCTTTCCAGACAGAAACTTCATGGGGAATGAAGCCCAAGGTCATACCAGTGGGCTACTAGTAGAACTGGGTCTCAGAACCCAAGTCTCCGAGACCCTATCTCTGGGATCTTCTTCTTCAGCATGGTGTCCCAGGCCAGCTGTGTAAGAAATGAGGCAACCTGGAAAGGGAAGGCAAGCCCAGCACTGGCCTCTCACGCTAGCTTCCTGGGAAATAAGTCTGCTGGGGTTCTCAGCAGAGTGACCATGGCCAAGTTCCCATCAATGGACAGGGGTGGGAATAGGAAATGAGTGGATGTGGGGATAAGAGTGGGTTGGGAGAGGACAGTCAGAGGGAGGTCAGGCACTGAGGTTGTCCAGGGCACTTCTACCTGCCTCTGGGCTCACTCTAACTCTGTAGTGGCTGGCTCCATGCCTTGTGTCTCTTGAGAGAGTAGGCACCATTGTATAGCCAATTCTGAGCTCCTGCCACCAAGGTCCCAATGCTAACTGTTGTGTTCCTGGTGGTGGCATATCCATGACCAAGATGGTGGTGGCAGTGGAGTTTGCTACAACAGCCAGGTGGGCTATAGGCTCCTACAACTGCTGTGCTTGTCTGGTGTGGAGGCAGCCAGGGAAGATGGTAGTGTGGAGGGGGTGTAATCATCATATTCCAGGCTATTATTTTGCATACAGATGTTATTATTGCTTTCTAGAGTTACACTTTTAATACATAAACACAAATAAAATAATTAAAACATATAGATATAGAGTTAGTACTACCCACGTATAACATACATCCTTATTTTTCTCAGAAGT